AAAGTTGGGAGCATGAAATTGTCCAAAATGTCTTGGTATGCTGATGCCTTAAGAGTTCCCTTCACTGGAACTAAGGGGCCAAGCCCAACCCCTGAAAAACAACCCCACAACATAATCCCCACTCCACCAAACTTTACACTTGGCACAATACAGTCAGGCAAGTACCGTTCTCCTGGCTACCGCCAAACCCAGACACGTCCATCGGATTGCCAGACAGAGAAGCGTGATTTGTTACTCCAGAGAACACGTCTCCACTTCTCTAGAGTCCAGTGGCGGCGTGCTTTACACCACTGCAGCCGACGCTTTGCATTGCACTTGGTGATGTAAGGCTTGGATGCAGCTGCTCGGCCATGGAAACCCATTCCACTAAGCACTCTACGCACTGTTGTTGTGCCAATCTGAAGGCCACACGAAGTTTGGAGGTCTGTAGCTATTGACTCTGCGGACACTTGGCGACTTCTGCGCACTGTGCGCTTCAGCATGCGCTGACCCCGCTCTGTCATTTTATGTGGCCTACCACTTCGTGGCTGAGTTGCTGTAGTTTCCAGTTGCTTCCACTTTGTTATAATACCACTAACAGTTGACTGCGGAATATTTAGTAGCAAGGAAATTTGACGGCTGGACTTATTGCACAGGTGGCAACCTATCACGGTACCACGCTTGAATTCACTGAGCTCCTGAGAGCGACCCATTCTTTCACAAATGTTTGTAGAAGCAGTCTGCATGCCTAGGTGCTTGATTTTATACACCTGTGGCCATGCAGGTGATTGGAACACCTGAACCCAATACTTTTGACAATATAGTGTATTTCTATCCACAGGAGTAGCTAGTGAGGTCATATCTCACTTTGCTATAGAGTTAGCCATTTCTGTGCAGTTGGTCCTACTAAAGAATTTAAAAGTACAAGAAACTGCCGGAGATACAGAAATATATAATTATTAACATGGCAATCATAGGGGCATATTCAATAAATAGTGCAATACATATAATACGCAAACCAAATTCACCTTGCTAAAGCCAGAACAGCATTGATTGTTATTCACTGCTAAGGTTGGTTCCCTGTGCTTGCTTAACTGTTTTATTGAAAATGCTTTTTTTTGATGGTCTGTACACATTCCAAAATAAAATAAATTTGGGGCACCCTGAAAACTTTCTGTCCGTTAATGCTCTCTGTCTTGCTCCTTGTGTTGTTCTAATTTTTATCCTTCACTTCACAGCATTTACGTCAAAATAAATTGCTTTCATTTAGCAATACAAAATAAACACACATCTGAAAGTGACCTGCAGAGGTCCTTAGTTCCTAAAGGGGATTTCTAGAAGAAAATGCCTGGGCACCCCTCACCACTCTGTTGTATCATCATGGTTAGCTAAAATTACAGATTTCATCTACCTAAATCTGGCTTAGTGGTATAACCATACACATGGATTATGAAAGGGTAACTATGAAACATCGGAATTTGGTGTCAGTAAATGTCCAGGCAAACCAACTATGAAAACTGTGTTACCATTACTAAGCAAAGTATATCCAACAGTGAGTAGTTACCTCTCCAGAGGAGGATTATCTGTCAGGCTGCTGTGTCTTCTCTGCATTGTCCTCAGGACCTTAAAACAATACATTTAAGGTGTAGTGTCTATAGGAAAAAGGGAGCAGTGAGTGGAATTCTTGCTTGTAGAATTTGAAAGCATGAGTGATCTTCAGGTAAGTGGGACTGTTGTTTGTGTTCAGGGATAAAGTACAAGCACCTCTTTAGAAACGACCGTCCAACTTTCCAGGCATGATAACTGAAAGAAAAAAAAAAAATCTAGGTATGAATGGCATACAGGGCTGAACAGATGAACAAAGCACGACTTCTTTAAAAAAGCATCTTGGTGATTAAAATTTGTTTTGATGGCTTTACTATTATGATACATCAGTCTATCATTGATAAACTCTGTTCTGTTTTGCTCATTTACAGTGTTTTCAGGAAACACTGTGCTGTTGGTAAAGACAAAATGATGTTTCAATAATGAGCATTCTGTATAGCTTGACTTGATGAATACACTGATACACACAGCACACTTTACAACTCAAATCAAACCTTAGTGTGGCCTGTTAAGGTGTGTCATGGAGATGCCAGCATGTCTGGTATCTCTCAGTATTTGTATGGGGGGGAGGGTGTTTTTATTTGCTTTTGCGTTTTTTCTTACTCTTAAAAGAAAATGAATAAACCTCTGGTGTCAGTCCTATAGAAACTCAGGTTCAGCACTGGACAGCTCTTTAAAGTATTTGTACACCCAATAGCTAACATTTCTAGTACAAGCGTAACATTGCAATGAAAGCCATTGTAGGCAGGCAGTTACAGGGGTACAGGGGGCATAGGAGTGAGGGCAGGCAGTTACAGGGGGCATGGAAGTGAGAGCAGGCAGTTACAGGGGGCATGGAAGTGCTGGAAGGCAGTTACAGGGGGCATGGAAGTGTGGGAAGGCAGTTACAGAGGTCATGGAAGTGTGTATAGGACAATAGGATATCACTATAGTGTGTAAAAATACACATCAACCGATGTGGTTGAGAACCTATAAGCATACATGTAGACATACCACCTCTATAGGAAACAGTGAGGTGGAAAAAGAAGTTATAGTGCAACCAAAAATAGATAAATAATCAGCCAATTGGCTTAGTTTATTAATTAGAAAAATATGATTAATACATTTAAGAGAGTATGAACATAACAGACACTGTGACAAGGACCTTATGTTATAATTTGCAAAGTTGTCAATGCATCACACTTGTTAAAATCACTGAAACAACACCATACCCACAACCCTTTCTATTTCTATCATAAGGTCCTTGTCACAGTGTCTGTTGTGTTGATATTCTCTTAAATGTATTAATCATATTTGTCTAATAAAGTAAGCCAATTGGCTGATTATTTATCTATTTTTGGTTGCAGTATAACTTCTTTTTCCTCCTCACTGTTTCCTACAGAGGTGGTATTTCTACAGGCATGGAAGTGTCGCAAGGCAGTTACAGGGGGCATGGAAGTGTAGGCAGGCAGGTACTGGGGGCATGGAAGTGTGGGCAGGCAGGTACAGGGGCTATGGAAGTATGGGCAGGCAGTTACAGGGCATGGATTTGTGGGCAGGCAGTTACAGGGGGCATGGAGGTACGGGCAGACAGGTACGGGGGCTTTGGAAGTGTGGGCAGGCAGGTACAGGGGCTATGGAAGTATGGGCAGGCAGTTACAGGGCATGGATTTGTGGGCAGGCAGTTACAGGGGGCATGGAGGTACGGGCAGACAGGTACGGGGGCTTTGGAAGTGTGGGCAGGCAGGTACAGGGGCTATGGAAGTGTGGGCAGGCAGGTACGGGGGGAAGGAAGTGTGAGCAGCAGTGTTAATTTCGTCGACTATGTTCTGATGACTAAAACTATACTGAAAATATATTGACATTTTAGTCAACTAACTAAAAATAGACTAAAATGTTAGGGAGAGATGATTTGGGAGATCCAATCAGAACTAATCTCTTTGGACTTCCAGTTATGGTTCCATACTGAATGGACAGCTCATAGGTAATATGTGCAATGGCATTACAGCCAATATAGTTTTTCAATTTAATATTTTAGAATTGCACTTCTGCTTGAAAGATTGAAGAATATCATATGCAAATTGTTATAATCAAAGCATATCTAATTGTTGGTCCATTGTTGAAAATACTCAATATTATTGTTTCTTTATAAGACTTGGTTTCATCTAATTTTAAGATAAAATACATGTTATATATCACAACAGGTAAATCTGTGTCTGTATTGCATGTTCAAACCATAATACCATAAGTGATAACAGGTTAACAGATGTTTACTCCAGGAGTATATAATGAGATTGGACATTCTAGAGAAATTCTTAAATTACTCTGTAACTAAACCCACTAGATTGTAGTAGACTAAATCTACCGTAGATTTAGTCGACTAAAATCTTATGATGTTTAGTTGACTAAAACAATTCAGATGACTAAAACTAAATTGAACTTTGTTATCCAAATTAACACTGGTGGCCAGGCAGTTACAAAGGGGTGGAAGACTCATGTGTATCCAATTGTTAGCTTATACTGAAGTAAATCAGACGGATGCTGTACATGCAAAGTCCAGTGATACTGACATGGACAGACTGCTCTTCACATTACAATGCTGATAAAGACAATCCAGTTTATGGCAATGTTATTAAATACTGCAGTAAATCAGACCAGGGCTGTACATGCAAGGCCCAGTGATACATAAACGGACAGACTGCTATTCATATTACAATTATTATTCTGACTGTCCACTGTCTCCCATTGTGATATAATACTGCAGTAAATCAGGCCGGTGCAGTAACACATACATGGATAGACCTCTATTCTATAGTGATAAGTGTCCAGTGTCTCCCATTGTGCTACCATAACACTGGACCTCCTCACTCTCACCTTTCCCTTGGCCGCGCCTCATAGATGACGTCACTCTCTATACCGAGCCAACGAATGACTTCCGGTTGATGATAGCACACAGGTTGCAGAAGGAGGACCTGTTGCCAAGGAGACGGGCGCCTGCACAGGAAGTGTTTCATGGAGTTCCGGGGCAGCATGCAGTTAATAACAAATGGGTCCCGTGACTGAAGAACAGAGGGAAAAGTGGTCATTGTAGGTCTTGTGACCCCGGAGTAACCCGGCTCTCAGCGCCCATACTCCTGCAGAGCAGAACGGCGGCTTCCAGGCAAGCAGCAGAAGCCACCTCGCCATTCTCCTGACATGTCACCTGTGAAGTTGGTGTTCCCTGCAGGCCTGCGACTGGTCATTTCACCGCAGTGATCAGCGCTTGCGATCGAGGATTACTATGATCTGTAGAGACACCATCACATAATTAGTCACAGTACGAGCCTGAGGATTCATACTACACACTGTCAGGACTCTACAACTGGAATGGTCAACCTACTGTCTATGGTGTGGAGGAAGATCCTACGAAAGCGATGGGTTCTGGGGGTTGTTTTTGGACTTTCTCTGATATATTTTCTCACCAGTACGTTCAAGCAGGTGGGTGTTTTTTACCAGGTGTGACAAGTCCACTCAACACTGTTATTTCATTTCTGGCTGGGCATTGGGGTTTTGTTAGCTTTAGATTATTAAGAAGAAAGGTAAAACATTTTATTAACCCTTGCAGCAATCTCATGATATCTCAGGGGAAGGCATTTTCCACCTCTTAGATGATGTGCATGGTCACATGTCCTTGTCACATAAGTAAGAGTTCCAGGAAGTAAAGGGATACCTAGTAACCTGCCCTTAGTAAAAATTGCCACTGTCAGAAGACTGGGGAAGAAAAGAGAAGTAAGGTATGCGAAGAATACAAAACTGGCAATTATCTAGAAGTATGTGTTTGTAGATTGTCATTATTAAACATTTCTAAAAGGTGTGTTTGTTGTTATTTTAAATATATGGGTAAAGGTCCACTTTAGGATGCTGCAACAACTGGAGAGCACACATTGATGAGCTTGAAGTCTATGAGGTTTTAGAATATGTGTATGCCTAGTTTTTTTCTATCATTTCCTCTATACTTACTCACTCATGGCATTCTGTATTCAGCCAAGAGTAGGCACTTTTCTTTATTTATGGAACTTGAATTCCTTGAAAGGCCAGTATCTAAATCAAAACATTTTCTATGTTGTAAGGACCATTGTGTCTCCCCTGTGACATATGGAACCCAGGAAGCTATGAAATGCACACCTGCCACACTCTGCTCCTCCCGACGCCTTTTGCTGATCTGTTCAGAGATGTCCAGGTACTCCTAGGTTCCTTCTGTCCCAGGGGAGCCAATTTATAGACTAATATTAGCAGTGCAATGTTGAACCTTGTTAGCCTTTGACAAAGTAGACCTTTGTGTTTAGGGTATTAGCCAATAAGTGTTAATTAAATGGTAAGTCTAGTTAGCCAATAGGTGTGGCCCTAAATCCAAACTTCTACTCTGTGTTCTTTTCGGTGTACAGTAATGCTCTAAATGTTATTTTATTCCTCTCCCAGGAAGAAAGAACAGTGAGAGATAGAACACTTCTTGAGACACAGTGTGACAAGTCCACTCAACACTGTTATTTCATTTCTGGCTGGGCATTGGGGTTTTGTTAGCTTTAGATTATTAAGAAGAAAGGTAAAACATTTTATTAACCCTTGCAGCAATCTCATGATATCTCAGGGGAAGGCATTTTCCACCTCTTAGATGATGTGCATGGTCACATGTCCTTGTCACATAAGTAAGAGTTCCAGGAAGTAAAGGGATACCTAGTAACCTGCCCTTAGTAAAAATTGCCACTGTCAGAAGACTGGGGAAGAAAAGAGAAGTAAGGTATGCGAAGAATACAAAACTGGCAATTATCTAGAAGTATGTGTTTGTAGATTGTCATTATTAAACATTTCTAAAAGGTGTGTTTGTTGTTATTTTAAATATATGGGTAAAGGTCCACTTTAGGATGCTGCAACAACTGGAGAGCACACATTGATGAGCTTGAAGTCTATGAGGTTTTAGAATATGTGTATGCCTAGTTTTTTTCTATCATTTCCTCTATACTTACTCACTCATGGCATTCTGTATTCAGCCAAGAGTAGGCACTTTTCTTTATTTATGGAACTTGAATTCCTTGAAAGGCCAGTATCTAAATCAAAACATTTTCTATGTTGTAAGGACCATTGTGTCTCCCCTGTGACATATGGAACCCAGGAAGCTATGAAATGCACACCTGCCACACTCTGCTCCTCCCGACGCCTTTTGCTGATCTGTTCAGAGATGTCCAGGTACTCCTAGGTTCCTTCTGTCCCAGGGGAGCCAATTTATAGACTAATATTAGCAGTGCAATGTTGAACCTTGTTAGCCTTTGACAAAGTAGACCTTTGTGTTTAGGGTATTAGCCAATAAGTGTTAATTAAATGGTAAGTCTAGTTAGCCAATAGGTGTGGCCCTAAATCCAAACTTCTACTCTGTGTTCTTTTCGGTGTACAGTAATGCTCTAAATGTTATTTTATTCCTCTCCCAGGAAGAAAGAACAGTGAGAGATAGAACACTTCTTGAGACACGAGATGAAGAACAAAACATTCGTTGGAAGATTCAGTTCAACCTGGGAAACAGCAGCCGGATCAGAGATCAGTGTCGCAACTCTGTTCAAGGAAAACTACTTATTACAGATGACTTAGGTAAATATATCATCAGCTATATGCAGAATTATAATACTATTGTCCGAGCAGGGACAAGTCTTAGCCTTTAAGCATGCACAGAAAAATATGGTAAAGGGCAACTCTAGTCATACGGCTTAAAGTGTATTTTTCACTTTTGCAGTCAAATTTGAGAGAACTCCGCTAAGTTTGTTATGTGTTCCCATTCACACAGCGTACCCAAAAACATTTTATTTTAGAAAATATTTCTTACCTTTTTAGATCTTTCTTTGGTGAAGGCCTTTTGTGCAAATTGCAGACTGTTCTGAGCAATTTGAAAGTGAAAGTAGAGGGACAAACTGAGGGACAGGCTGAGCTTCCTTTTGTTAACATGCAATGCTTCTCAGTCTTTATCCTTTTGCAAGAACAGACAATGTTCACATCTAGTTTACAACTGAGAATGAGGATCTGCCAGAACACTGGCAGAGTAAACAATAAGTGCTGGCCCTAGAATTTCTGTTCTCCAATGTTCGCGGTGATATGTAACCTATGTAGTGCGATTGATGATTTCACACGTAGGCACACCCGACGCATGTTTGTATATGGGTGTTTTCGTGGGGGTGGATTTTGTCTCATAGTGAGTGTAGATACAAACAATGCTTAGTGGAGTTATGCAATAAACACTTGCATAGAAGTTCAGGGCTGAATGTTAATTAATTTAGAGTCTTTTCATATTATCAGTTCTAGTATGTTCATTACAGATCACATGGCCTGCACCATTACTTGGATATTTGATGGTAACAACATACACACATTTAAGCTCTGTTAAACACTCCATTGGAATGTACATCATTGATAAAGTTCATATGTAGGACATTTCTAAACACATATAAATGCATATAATGATTTTAAAGTGGGCCTTTACTCCCTTTGGCTAAAAATCACATCAGCATACAGCTCTGCATGCATTAGTTAAACAAACATTTAACTTACAATTTCTTGTTTTCAACTTCCTGGTTCTCTTTGGCAAAATTGATGTAATGTTCCCAAGCATTGCACCCTGGGAAGGTTACATCAGCAGAGCATTGCTGGGAAATCTCATCTGTAATCTCATGAGATATCAGGGAATGATGTGCATGGTCACATCTCCTAGTCACATGTGCCAGAATTCCAGGAAGTAAATGGAGATCTAATAACCTGCCCTTAGTTAACATGTCTGCTGTCAGAAGACTGGGAAAGAAAAGAGAAATAAGATATGCAAAGAGTAAAAATCCTGCAATTATCTAGAAGTATGTGTTTGTAGATTGTTATTACTAAACATTTCTAAAGGTGCCTTTGTTGTTAAAAATCTGGTTAAAGGTCTGCTTTAAATGGTATAATTCACACTTTGTGTTTTTAGATGCATTCAGTTTAGCTATGTTTAGAAAAATAGCATTCTGTGCATCTTGGGGCAGATTAAGTACTGTACATGTATGATAAAAAAGAGTTTGGAGACAAAAATCGAGAGTTAAATTAACCTAGCAATGTTTGTGGGTGGAAACCCGCACCAGCACAGGGTGAACATACAACCCTGGAGGCAGATGAGGATTCTTATGTAAACTCCACAGCAAGGCAAGAATGTGAACCACTAGGCCATAATTAAAGCCTAACTCTGGCCAGAACGTTTGGATAGATTCCTATTCAGCAGCAACATTTGGGGTTCGTCCAGGGGATGGCAGCTGTTTTTTCATTATTGAGTTTTGAAGTAGAATAATATTTTGTTTTAGTAGGGGTTTCAAGTTGAGGGTTGACATTTTCATTTTCTTTTGTGAGGTTTCTAAATAGTGTGTACCCCTACCTACTGAATTACACTCATCCTCATGATTAGAGCCGCTGTGCAACATTGAAACTGTCACACGTTGACCCTATAGATCGGGAAGTGAGTGAACACATACCGTTGCTCTCTCTCTTCCCGATCATCTCCCTGCAGAGAGCGGTGACTGTCGGTTTCCCCTCCTCCCCTCTCGAATCCTCCAGCACTGACTGGAGGGAGAGACAGGGGAGAGGCGGGCACAGCTGGCTTTACCTTCCAGATAGGCAGAGCCAGCTGTCAATCAGCCAGCGGGGTGGATCTCAACAGTGTTGTAGGGATCCATCCCGGCTGCGGCGCTCTCGGCATATAGCGGGCAATAGCCCGCTATATGCTCAGTTTTGTACCACAGGAGGACACAGTGTATGTCCTCCCATGACCCTGAGGAGAACTATGGAAAAAAACATTGCCCCATAGTTCTCCTTTCATTCCTGTACCCGTGACATCCTGTGACAGCAAGACAAAAAATACAGAGAGCCTTTTTTATATTGGGACAGGAAGTCCTACATAATAATAATTTCCTAACAAAGGCATTAACTATTACCTATTTTACTGAAGAAAAAAAACTCCAAGGGATCTATCCCTCCCCCACTGTGTCTAAAACACTTAAAACATTTTGGCTTCAAAGAAAAAAAAATTCTTGATGGTGTTGCTTCATTTGTATAGAGTATCTTTTAGTAAATACTTGCATTTTTTTCTTTTGGTCAGGTTATGTCTGCGAGCGCAAGGAGCTGCTAGCAAATGGATGTTGCAACATCAATGTGGCCAGCACCAGACAGTATAACTGTGAAAGCTGCTTACGCAATGGGTGCTGCAGTGTATATGAGTACTGTGTATCTTGCTGCCTTCAGCCTAACAAGGTGCGTTATCCTATTCCTTATGTTAGATAAAGGGTTGGGTTTAGGGTTAAGGGTATCTTCAGGTTAAGGGTTGGGCCAAGGTTGAAGGATATGTTTAGGTAATAGTTTCAGGTTTATTTTTAGGTTTAAGCTTAACGGTTGATTTTACTTTTTAGAGTTATGGGTAAGGTTCCAGATAACAGTAGTTACCATTACTTTTTCGCTGTGATAATTCACTTTTCTAGCTTAGTTGGATTTCTGATATTTCTTGGTGCAGCAATACCACCTCGACATTTGTCTTTTCCACAACTGATGGAATGCTATCACTGGGCCTTCAGGTAAATGCAGTCAGTTTACCTCTTGGCCACCTTGATTGCTCTAATCTAATATAAGGTGAACTAGGTTGGTTCCTCTAGCTAGTTACATATTATTTTTTTTCTGTACTGCTTAAGCAAATCTATATGACTTTGACATTTTACCTTTTTTCTAGCATGTTGAGGAGCTATAGAGAAGCCAGATTTGTATTCAGTTGAATGATACCATTTGAAGTGGAATAGCAAAGGAATGGACCAGGCTGAAGCTTCATTTAGAAGGTTTATTGATAACAACTGCAGCAGTTCAAAGAACAGAGGCTCACAGGCCCGTTTTTATAATGATTTTTACAATATGATTGGCTGCCTAAGCCTACGTCACTGCAACTAACCATGAATCTGACATTCCGGAGAAAGTGTGTCTTCTAAGTTGTTCTAGACCAGGGGTAGCCAGACTCCGGCCCTCCAGCTGTGATGAAACTACAAATCCCATGATGCATCTCTCTCCAGGAGTCGTGGCTGTGAGAATCTTGCAATGCCTCATGGGATTTGTAGTTCCACCACAGCTGGAGGGCCAGAGTTTGGCTACCCTTGTTCTAGACCAGGGATACCCATTAGGTAGATCGTGATCTACCAGTAGCTCTCAAAGCTGATGCTGGTAGATCAACAGGAGAGAAAACGAGGACAGCCAGGAGAGAGAGAGCGAGGGAGTTTTTTTTTTTTTTTCATTGGCAGATCTCATGTAGCTCGTTATTTGAAAAGTAGATCTTAACACAACAATTGTGGGCACCCCTGATCTAGACCCTTCTATATGAATTCCTCCTGCCCAAGCATATGGACTTGACACGTCCTCACATGGCAAGTGTGTTTAGTATGATCTTAAGGTTCATCTAAAGTTCTTCTGTATATGTCTATATAGTGTTACTCAACTTTTATGACGAAATAATGTTAACTATTATACACTATAAATAATAATAATGTATATGCTAACTAATATCAAAAACATTAAATGTATTAGTTAATGTCATAATTCCACTACACATTCTAAATATGTCGTGTTTTAGCTCTCAGCTCATCATCTTTACTATGATTCCTGAATGATGAACAATTTGCCGTTCTCTTTGTCTTTCTGTATAGCAACATATCTTGGAGCGTTTTCTAAACCGAGCTGCAAGGGGGTTCCAGAATTTATTCCTAGCAGTAGAAGACCACTTTGAGTTGTGTTTAGCCAAATGTCGAACATCATCGCAGGTAACAAAATACATTTGTAATAAATGTAAAAGCTCTGTACGCAAATATATTGTTTTTAAAATTTGAACTATTCAGAAAAAGTGTACACAGGTGTGTTACATTTTTTTTTTATCACACTTCTTTGCAAAGCATATTTAAAGGATCTGGAATGCACGGTATGGTAAACATATTTCAGATACAAGCCATTGTTTTCTGTGCTGTGTTTTGCTTACTTCTGTGTCCGATGATTGTGTTTACTGACTTACACATTTATTGCAACATGCCCAGGGGGATCCTACTTCATTTAAGGGTAAGCGCCACTCTGGACTCTGCCCCAGAGGTCCCCTGTTTGTTTTGCTTTATAATTGCCTTTTTCTGATGTCTTCAGGTTGGCAATGTGACACACAGGGTCCTCTTCTACTGATCTTCTGGTGGTGAGCAGTCCTGAATATTGCAGAGAGTGGTGGTGATGTTGTCAGAGCTGATCTCTGCATCCTTACACTATGAATAAGGGCACCATGATAATGCCCCCCAAAGGTAGTGAAACCATGACACCCTGCACTTCCAGCATCTCTTCAGTCTCCTTGGTTGTGTGGCACTGGGCATCATTTATGACTGAGGATAACCTGTGGTGAAAAAGAAGTTCTGTGGGGGACAACTCCAAATTGATTTTTGCAGCCTGAGCTGCTTTTGATTTTTGGATATTTCTTTTAATTAAAAAAAAAAAACTTTGCTAGGGCTTTAAATAGTAGTACAAGCCCAAATAACATAGGATTTTTTTTTTTTTTTGGCTCTGCGTGTTAGTGAGAGAAAATCTCTCTGAGGTAAGTGAAAGTAGTCACCAGAAAATATTTTCTCATTGGAAGATGTTCCATATTCACTGACAACTGTAAGAAAAATAAAAGTGCAAACAGATGTACTAACCCATCCCCAGTCTTTCCCCCCAAAAAAGGAAACACACTTAAAGTGATTCTAAACTCAGGAGTTAAATCTTAAAAATCAATTCAAGTACTTTTTAACTATTAACAAAACTGTATTTTTAATTGTGCATCACTCGGCTGTAGATGCTCAAATCATCTCTGAATTGGTGCTGACACTGTCCTTCTGGAGGGGGGCTACTTTTGTTCAAGAAAAGTACCTGTGCATGAAGATTACACAGGGTAAAGAAGTTACTTCTGACCAGAGATACTTATAAATAAAAAGGCATTTATTAACAATGTTGTTGCACAAATATTGCACCACCTCCCAAATCACCGTTTAAAAAGAATTAACAACGTTGTCACATTCATCCATTGAATTGTTAATACAAGCCTGCAGGATCACCTGGAGGGATTCTCTATATTCTTGCTGGCTACTATTGTTTTCAGGTTGACCGGCTACACTTTAAAGTGGTGATGCCGGGACGAATAACCTCTGTCTAAGTGTCACTTTCACGGACTCACAAGAGTGTTGTTGAGAATAATGATGCTATTGTTATATGATGAGGACGACTCTAAAGTGTAGCCAGAGGTGGTGCAATATTTGTGCAACAACATTGTTAATAAACAGTCTTTATTTATAAGTATCTCTGGTCAGAAGTAACTTCTTTACCTTATGTACTCTTCATGCACAGGCACTTTTCATGGATATATGATTACAGACTGAGACTTATCCATTATTAAGGTGGTTTTTGAGACCACGGTTTACAAGCACATAATCTAATTGGTTCCTCTGGGGAATCTTTAAATCTTTTCTTGGTTACGTTTGTTCCCCATGGTCCCTGTGTGTGTTGTAAAGTAGTCACTGCTCCAAGCTCACTCCTGTGATCGACTACAATCTCAATACAAATTAGTAAACTAAACGTGAGATTGTAGCCCATGGGGAACAAAAGTAGCCTCCCTCCAGAAGGAAGGACAGTGTCAGCACAAATTCAGAGATGATTTGAGGAGCTACAGCCGAGTGATACACAAATAAGGTCCAGTTTTGTTAATAGTTAAGGAACTTGTATGCATTTTTAAGACTTAACTCCTGAGTTTAGTGTCCCTTAAAGACACCCCCTGGGTACAGCGCACATGAAGAAATGGTTACCATCGTCCCTGATTCGTCAATTTATTCGAAAAAAAAAAATTTCCTATGGCGTTATTATGCAACATTTTTATATATACACATTTCTTATCTACTAGTTGCAACCGGCAGGGGAGGCTGTATGCAAGGTTTATTCTATGTGAAATCCTTTATATATATTTTTTTTTTTAATTGTTGGGTGCATACAAGTAGCTGCTGTGCTAAAAATAGTTAAGTAAGTCAGTGGATGGACGCCCACCTTCCTTCTCTTTTAGCAAAGGTAGCAATGTCTTAAAGAGAATCTTTCATAAGAGAATAATGGGAGCTACAATTGCTGACGTCTCCTTTAAAGAAGATGGTTCCCTGGAGCAAGTAAAGAGAGTGGATTTTAACACTTTTGTGAAACTCAATTATTTCATGCTTGTTTCAGGTCTTACTCAAAAGTGCCGACGTCAAACACATCACACAGGCACCTAGCATTTTTTTTTAAAGGACGCCACCAGTGGCAGCCCCCTTATTTCTCCCATGATATTTAACTAGTGAATAAACACAGTCTGCCAGAAAGTGTACAGACAGTGTCTGTGACGGTTCTCATTCATCCAGGTCATGGTATATCTGTAAAAAAAATAGGTCAAGGCAACTGGACTTGCTGTTTACAGCAAGTCTAGTTGCCTTGACTTATTTTTTTACAGATATACAGACAGTGCTTGGCTTCCTGAATAGAAAACTCATCATGCTTTGCAAACTCAGCATCAGACATGTACCCTGTATTAATGTTTATTTGTAAAATAAAGATTTTATACAAAGAACTAAAACATGATAAAAAAAATAAACAGTCAATCTTTCAAGGTTAATAATGTGAAACCTCGCGCCACTACTCAATTCAAGTTAAGCAGCAGCTGAAATCTGTGTGGTCAGATATATAGTATAACATTAATAATAAAGGCCACGCTGTGTGAATGAATCTACAAAAGTGTCAGATATCGTAGATACTGGCCATGAAATCCACGGCCAGTATCTACTATATCTGACACTTTTGTAGATTCATTCATACAGCGCGGCCTTTCTTATTAATTTTATAATCTTTAAAGGTTCATAAAACACTAAATTGACCAAAAATAATTATTGTGTCGCCTCATAGGTACAGCATTATACTTTACATTGATTTTAAAGCATTACATTATACATTTACAACAGTGTTTATCTTTTAATCTGGAAATATCATATGTGGATTGACATAATGGTTCAGGGATAATTAGCCAGGGCTCTTTGTGTCTCTGTTCAACCTTTTTGTAAAGTTGGTTCTTTTTGGGCAATCTCCCCACTATTTACCTTCGACAAGGCAGTAATGGGGTGACCGGGTTATCTTTGTTCATCTCTGCTTTACAGCCATAGATAATCCACATCACAAAAAAGCTTGACATTTTGTTCTTCAATGTCCAACCATGATGCATCCTTAAATTATGTTTAAACATTTATGATGATATTTGGGAATATGAAAGTCTTCTGCAGAATGCTGATAATAAACTCGTATGCATTATTGTCCAGGCTTGGAAGAACACAGATGGCAACTGAATGAGAACACTGACATGATTGATTCTATGTATACATTGTATGCCAAATGCTTGCAATTAGTGGCAGCCATCCTCAATTAAATGTAAGATAATGTGATTATTTTAGGACCTGATTAGAGGCGTTGTCCCATTTTTCTGAAGATTTCTACATCATTGACTTATTAGCTTGGTCTCTCCTGTGGGAATTAATGCAAAGAAAACAGTGATTGGAATGTATGTACCATCTGCAAAGCAAATCAATTAAATTGTACAACACGTGGTACCTGCTGCTCGAAGATCTGGCTATACCAGAAGGAATTTAATCAAACCTGAGTGAACCTTCACTGATGTGGGATGAACCAATAGGCATCGGCATTTGATTTGCTCATTTCTTCTCAGTTCTACATTTGTAAGCTGTTGGTTACAAATGAGTAAACGTATAATGTTCTTGTGGTGATAGAAATTTGGGATCTGCCTTTGCATGCTTGTTTTAAAGATACATGTTCTGGATCCATCATCCTAATCCTGACTTTTTAGACTTCACTGGGTATTGAAGCTTGGATCAAGGTGGCAAACCTGGAGCATGCACCTTGTAAACCAAGTCATCAAGGGCTGCTCCCGTATTCCTTCCCAGAGGTTAACTTTAGAAGGTTTCCCAGACTGTAGGGCTGCAACTAATGATTATTTTTTTTCGATTAATCGGATTAAAAAAAAAAAAGCAAATACTATCCTTAATTTAAAACTAAAATGCAGTCTTACAAACAAAGTTTTCTTTCTGAATAAAACTGCATGCGCAATTTTTTGCGCTGCACAGGAATCCACAGCATTGGGGTACCATGTGTTCCAGTGCGGGCGATCACAGTGTGGGTGGGAGGTGCGTTTGGGGTGCCATTGAAATGAATGGCACTGCAGCGCACCTCCCACAGCAGAATTTATCAGGCCGAAAATGACTTTTCGTAATTTTTTTTAAATAATTGTATTGTAAGCACAAGGCGCTTGAATAGCTTCAGGGAATGACAGCTGCCAGTGGCAAGATTCCACAGATGGCAGCTGACCGTAAGTACAGCATGTAGTGGGCGGGTTGCAATAGCCAGCCTGCTATTGGCCATTTCAAATTGCAACTGGCTATTGCACCTGCCCACTGCGGGCTGTGCACTCCTCCCAGCATGGAGGAGAGAGCTAGTGGATCCAACCAACTAATTGATGATGAGAATGACAACTATTCTCATTGATTAATCGATTAGTTGGTTGAAGTCCTACTAGACTGTAAGGGCTAATTTGAAATACCTGCATTGTGGTAACGGAGTGTTAAATCCCCTTCCTGTCCAGGCCATTTTTAAGTACTCAGCGCTGTGGTACTTTGACATTTATTCCATCATGCAACGCTGTACTGAAATGAATTGTATACCATTTTTTTTAGGGACAAATGGGGCTTTTTTTTTGGTGGTATTTAATCACCACTGGGGTTTTCCCTTCGTTATGTTATAAAACATTTATAATTACCCAATTTTTTGGTAAAATATAAAAGTCCGGGTCACGTCATGTAAATAGACACCAAGCAAGTCAACATGTCAAGCTTTAAAATTGCGTGCACCCACAAAATTGCAAAAAAAAAAACTACCGTGCCTAAAATTGGCCAAAGGCAAAGCTTTTAGTGTTATCAGTGTTTGATGGGGCTAGAATGATTGCTCTCACAGCGACGTTCGCAGCGATATGTAACATGTGCGACACAATTGTTGTTTTTGCACGTAGGCGCGCCCAACGCATATTTACGTATACAAAGTGCGTGCGGGTGCGGGGGACTTAAAACTTTTTTTTTTTAATATGAGACTTTAATTATTTTTATTTTTTTACACTTCACTTGATATCACACAGGGCTAAAAATCCCCCAATGCGATAGCTAGAAAAAAAATTATAGGTCCTCTTAATGGAGACATCAGGGGGCCCCAAGACCCCTAATGTCACCGAGGGACTCCCAAAGAAGCTGATAAAGCAAAGATCTGCTTTATCCGCTTCTTCTCTGGCTCTCAGCCAGAGAAATGACAGCTAAAGGCGGAAGTGATGTAATGCTTCCGACTTTAGAGAGAGAGAAGGGGGAGAGATCAGCGGTGGGAAATGCTGATCTCTCCTCCTTCGCTCTTTGAGCAGCCGCTGTGCTGGTCCTCTCGGTCCCGGGCACCACAGGGGGGACAGTGGTGCCCAGGAAAACCGGTGAAGGGGGGGCACACCATGCAAGGTCATACAAGCGATCGGCCGGCTATAGAGACGGCCGAACACTTGTATGAGACAGCCGGTAACGGCTTTTATGCTTCCTGGCGGGATTCTGCTCACTTGCGCTGACAAAAAAGACATACATTTATGTGACCCTGCCGGGAAGGATCTGATGTCGGACGGTGAGGGGTTAAGGAAAAATTACTGAAAATTTTTGGGAAAAAACGTTTTTGTTTTTTTTTTCATACTTTTCTTTTATTTATTTATTTTTACATAAAAAAACATACATTAATGACATGTATACCTAGAATTTCCCATCTAAGTCAATCAACATCAATTAAAACGCTAACAACAATAAAGTATTTAAGATATTCACACAATACATTAAACAAAATAAATTTAAATTTAAACCCACATGTATATAAAAAAGAGGGAAGAAAAAAAAAAAAGAGAAAAGGAGTGTTATTTATGAGCCTCCCAACTTCCCATACCTAGTGCCAAATTCATCAGGTGTTAAATCCCTGTGTTTATCAGGTGTTAAAAAAAGAGAGGGTGGTGTCATCTTTTATTATTGTCAATCTGCCAATGAATTGACATCGTATTCCTTGTGAAAAAAGAAAGGGGGAATATATTTTATATACGCCTACATATATATGTGCATCTCCTATTCATTCCTAAAAACTATTCATAAATACTTAATCCACCTAATATCTATATCATTATGGAAGTGTCGTGTAGCCGTGCCAAACTTGCCTCACACCATGTGTGATAGTTATACCCTCTTATCCTATACCCAGTGACAAAATCATGAGGGAAAGAGGAAACTCTGCAGACTTGTTATGCCTCCATACTAAAGTATTGTATCTTATTATTAAGCTGTGATTTACTTTATATCATAATCATTGTGAAATCACTGTGAAGAGGGAAGAAGGGAGGGCAAAGGGAAAAGGTTTAATTCTTTCTATAAATGAATAAAGATAATCATCATATATCTTACGTTATGCGCAATTCAGGGCCACTCTGCACTTCTATTCTTTTACCCTATCAAATCGTTAGCTTCTTTACATTTTCCCCAGTGTTAACCCAACATAATTTCCACATATCTCTGAGAATTTTTTAATTTATTCCACTTAGCCCAGATTCTGTTATGCGAAGAACCTGAGTTTTTTTATCACAGCTGTAAGTTCCTCCATTTCACTATACTGACCAATAAGTTTAAACCAACTGCGAATATCTGGTTCTGATACACATCTCCATGATCTGGAAATATTCGCCTTTGCCGCATTCAATAGGAATGGAATCACAGTTCTCCTATATTTCCCCACTGGGGATTCTGTACAGTGGAACAAACATATCCAAGGTTCAAGAGGGACCTTTTGGTCTGTTATAGCACAAATATAGTCAATTATTTTCTGCCAGTAGCCCTGAATAACTGGGCAGGACCACCATATGTGCTCCATTGTACCCTCTTTACCACATTTCCTCCAACATTCCTTTGAATATTTTTTGTTAAATTTCCCTATTCTGGAAGGTGTTAAGTACCATCTTGCTAATAGTTTATAGTTACTTTCTTCAACCTTAGAGCTCATTGAGGAAGTATGGCATAATTGCATTTATCTTTTTTTTCCTGCTCCTCTGTTAGTATACTGCCCAGTTCGTCCTCCCATTGAGCTAAAAAGCATGGGTAACCCCCCCTAGACAGATCCATCAGTGCCCTAGAGAACCGGGATATCATATGTTTTGGTGATCTAATATTGACTAGCACCAGTTCAATTTGGTTTAATTCTGCCAGTGATCTTATTGGTAAGGGGAGAGATTTAACAAAATGTGTCAGCTGCCTATAGCACCAAAAGTCCCAACTATATGTTCCCCATCTTTCCTGAATTTCTTCCAGGGGTAAAATGGACCATAGGCGATGCTTTAAAAGCTTTTACCGCTCATCAGTTTAGTGTTATCAGTGATTGCTGACCCTAGAATTATTGCTCTCACTGCGGCGTAATGGGCACAATCATCGTTTTTGCACGTATGCGCGTGCGAAATGGTGTGTGTAGTGTTTTTTTTTTTTCTTCATCTGTTCACTTTAAACTTTTTTTGCATCTTTTAAAAAAAACATGTTTTCCACTTAACTTTATTGCTATCACATTAGAGGCTAAGAAACCCCCCTACGTGATAGCAAGATAATGTGACAAGTCCTCTTTATCGAGACATCAGGGGTCTCAAAGACCCCATGGTGCCACCTAGGGACCCCCAAAGAAGCTAATGAAGCAGAGCATTGTCAGCTTCTCTCCAGCGACTGAAGCTGCAGAGTGACACAAGAATGCGGAAGTGATGTAATATACATCACTTCCGCATTCTGACACTGGAGGGAGATCATGTACCAATCTCCCTCTGATCCCCTGTCACAGAGCCACCATGCTGGTCCCGGGGGCCGCTCCGGGCACAGCGGAGCTCGGGATCAGCAGAGGGGGCTGTGGAGGGGCGCACCAATCGGCACCTTTTATACAAGCAATCCGCCGCCTCCTATAGCTGGTGGATCACTTGTATGTGAACCATCATCGCTGCCTGTTTTTAAATTTGGCCAGTTTCCCGCTCGTGCACGACTGGGCGGAGTCAACAGGATGGCTTTTGATGGCCTGTTACATCCAGGAACCTCCCGGATGGCCATTTCATTACAACGGCCGGCCAGGAGGCGGATAAAGAGATTCAACCATATTTAGGCTGTCCCTATACTTCATAGTGCAGTTGGATGTGCAGGATATAATTAACAGCTGTAAGCTCAGCCCCACTGTGCAGAAGAAAGTAGGAAAAACAATAAGGATCTAACTAGGGTTTCTAAGGTTCTTAAGCAATGTCATGTGCATCCTGCAACCGGAAAATGGTCAGAATTGTCTTCATTGACTCATTGTCTCATGCTCATTGGTATCTTTTGACATTATTATATGTGTATTTATTTTTTAACCATAAATGTAATTGCTTGTGTTATTTACAGAGTGTCCAACATGAGAACACTTACAGGAATCCGGTTGCAAAGTACTGTTATGGAGAAAATCCCCCAGAACTTCTCCCTCTCTGAAAGAAGAATGAGGATTAACAGTTTTTCTTTCTTATTCCACCTGCATGTGATAAACAACGTCTCCGCATTTAAGGACTGGGTAAACCAGAATACCACAGGTAGTTCTGCAGAAGGAGACATTGAATGTACACTATTAGAAAACTTGGAAGATTTTAAATGTGGCATTTGTGATTGGACTTAATGAGTCTTATTATTATTATTGAGTTTTAGCCAGTATACAGTATAATCTTGATGTATACATAATGTTTACATATCACTTAGTATGCACTGAGTGCAGTATACAAGAGAACAAGCGGTGAGTTTGTAATGGGCAAGTAATGAAGGACTGAAGTTTTAAAACAAACTTTTTAATTTTATTTGTATTTTCTTAAGCTAGAATTACTTGCATCTTGTTTTTCAGACATTGTGTTAATTTATTAAATGTATCTTATTTTTTTTCTCAAAGCAGTGTTGTTTAAGCATAATATCAGAAAAGATATAATAAAAGTGAATCTTTCTTACAATAAAGTGATGAAATAATTGTTTGGGGGAGATGACATGTTTCTAGGGGCTTTTTTTTTTTAATAAAAACTTCAAAGTGAATGTTCTTTTGTTACAAGATTACCTTGTTTGGTACAATTACAAGTTTGCTGTAAGCAAGTTTTCCACAGTGTAAACACATATTTATTTTATCTGTGTACTTCTATGTACTTCTATGTACTTACAGATCGAAGGATTAGAGCATTGCAAAGGGTTTTTTTTTTTTTATTGTAACATTCAAAGGAATTGCATACCACAAGTATCAGTAGGAAACATTTAAAGAGGAAGGGAACTATGGAACATTTTAAATTACACTAACATTTGAACGCTTTCATGGGATTATAGTGATTGGGTCTGCATGAACTTTAAAAACCCAAAATGACCCTGTGTGTGTATGGTGTGTATGATTATATATATTTATATATATAAATAGATCTCAATTAATTACTTTCTTTCTCATTTGTTCCTGGATTTCTTTGGATCTCGGCATGATGTGTAGCTTTTGAGGATCTTTTGCTCTACTTCACTTTGTCAGTCAAGTCTTATTTAAGTGATTTCTTGATTGCGAACAGGTGTGGCAGTAATAAGGCCTGGGTGTGGCTAGAGAAATTGAACTCAGGTGTGATAAACCAGAGTTAAGTTATGTTTTAACGGGGGGCAAACACTTTTTCACACAGAGCCATGTGGGTTTGGATTTTGCTTTCCCTTAATAATAAAAACCTTCCTTTAAAAACTGCATGTTGTGTTTACTTGTGTTATCTTTGACTCATATTTAAATTTGTTTGATGATCTGAAACATTAAAGTGTGACAAACGTGCACAACAATGACAAATCAGGAAGGGGGCCAACACTTTTTCACACAACTATATGTGTATGTGTGTGTGTGTATATATATATGATAAGCACACAGGTTTTAGCAACAGACATACACTGCTTTTATATAGCAGTTTTGCTAAACCAGACAATTTCACTTAAAGGGACACTAAACTCACGAGTTACACCTTAAAAATACATTCAAATACCTTACCTATAAACAAAAATGTATCTTATTTGTGTATCACTCAGCTGTAGATCCTCAAATCATGTCTGAATTTGTCTGACACTGTCCTTCCTTCTGGAGGGCGGCTACTTTTGTTCCCCATGGTCCCTGTGTGTGTTGTAAATAGGGATGCACCGATACCGGTTTTTCTGTATCGAGTACGATTACCGATAGTTATATTTTGGTACTCGCCGATACTGAATACCAATACTTCTGGTAGCCTGGAGCCAGCTTCCTGGCCAATCAGGAAGCTTCTTGATTGCCCGGGAAACCGGCTCCATGCTGTTTAGCTGCCTCAATGCGGATTGTCCGGCTTTCTTGGCCTTACCCCCAGCCCGGGTTCCTTATTGGCTGGGAGGCCGGCTCCATGTTTCCTCGCAGAACTGCCGCTCAGAAGAAAAACTTCCACTGACCGGAAGTGCTGGTATCGGAGCATTTGGGCCAATACCAGTACTCTCCCAAATACTCAGTATCTGTATCGGTGCATCCCTAGTTGTAAAGTAGCCACTGCTCCAAGCTCACTCCTGTGATTGGCTACAATATCAGTACAAAATAAACTAAACGTGAGATTACAGTCCATCACGGGAACAAACTGGGAGCCATGGCTACTTTACAGCAGACACGGGGGGATTTATCAAAACTGGAGCAGACAGACCAATCAGCTTCTCTCTTCAGTTTGTTCAGTTAAGATTTGAAAATGAAACCGAGAAACTGATTGGTTGCCATGGGCAACTGCTCCAGATTCTGTCCCCTCCAGTTCTCTAGTTTTCATAAACTCCCCTCACAGTGTTTGTGATTTATATATGTACATCTGTGTACCCGCAGTTGCTCGTTCAATGTGCAGCCTCTGCTTCCTATTTAGCAGTAATCCATAAGGTTGTGCCTTGCTAATCTTTGTTTTAGATAGAGGGTTTATCATTTCTAATGTGGTTTGTTCCCTAAGCTCCTAGTAGTCAGATATGTAATCATTGCCAATGAACATATTTAATTGATCTTTGTGCAGTAAACTGAAAGTTAAGATATGATCACTTTGGGTTTCTGCACTTTACAGCTTTTTGTTCTATGTTCTTAATCTAGGTTCAGCTGTATCTCCACTATGGAACATAAGTGAATATTTTAACTCTACAACTCTTCACCTTCAGCTTAAAAAAATCCAAGAGTGTTCTCTACAAATATTAGTTAGAAATTAAAATTTGATCCAAACTCATTACCTGTTTTCTGTCTGCGGAGAGATAATGTAGTTCTGAAATGAACAGATTTTCAAGTCTTCATCATTATTTTTAACTGTTTAATGAGCACACATGTTGCAGTGCCCCAAATCTCCATCTTCTAAAAGACTGATTAATTTGCTTTGTAGCACAAAAGCTTCACTCTTTTCCTCATGTTTCTGCCACACACTTGATTAATGATAGGGACAGATTTTCAGGTTCATCCTCCCTGCATTCTCCCACGTCTGCTTGTCACTGTTTATAATGCAATCTTTCCTGCAAAATGATAATGTTCTGCAATAGTAACTTGGCAATGCCTTTGGCGTTCTTGGGTCATCAGACAGATGGGAGTAGATGGACGTGTCATCTTCAAGAATGTCCACCTGCAATCCATCATAACATCACTGGTATATGAGAATATAACATGTTGGCCTCCATTAAAATTAGATTACCATAATGTTGTGAATACCATGTGTCTGCCAGTTTTGCATATTTGTAATTACTGCAAATGGCATGTTTGCTCTGGATGAATAGAAAAATATCCTTTTAATGACTTTGTGCTGAAGAGGAAAATGTCATTACTTTTTTCTGGCAGCTTTTACTGGAAAACCTATATGGAGTGTATTCACAATGAAAAATACATGACTCTAGTTCTTCAATATATGAAGCTAGAGCTGTTCTTGGACTTCAGTTTTATGAATTGATGATTCTATACTGTATATATATTCATGTATATATTCAGGAAGAATACCTATGGTTTAGCATACATAAAAGGCTTTATTCATCCTCTCATAATACTAGTTTCCACTATTCATCATGTTTTGTTGGCTCTGCCTGAGAAGACAAGAATACATCCACAGGGAAGACATGTTAAAGTGACCCTCCCTGTCATGTAAATGTGTGTAAAGCAAGCATTTGCCTGTAAAGAAGCGAGGGAATACTTGTTGGACTGTTCCCACTTTCAGCACCACTGAACTCTTTTTTTGTGAGAAATGGTCCCTAGAAGTGTGCTTAAAAACCGTCAACTTCCTGGAGTGATATTCGCCTAGGTCTCCAAAGCGCTTTCTGGTTCCTCTTGTTGACCTCCACAGCACTTCTGTCTCCTTCTGGTTGTGGAGGGCAGCGGGAGTAATCAGTGACCACTGTGGGGGAACCAGGACACCAAATGTTGATTTCCCAGCGAACTTTAGGGAACGAGTTCAGTGGCTCAGGCAGCAGGAAAGATGGGTATTCCCTCTCTTCTTTACAGGTACGTATTATATACATGTACATTTAAATACACTGCATGGACAAAAGTTTTTGGACAACTGGCAATCACAACTACAGTATACAGTATGAGGTGGTTGGACATCTCAATCAAAAACCATGCACACTAATATGGAGTTGGTCCACTTTTGTGGCCAGAACAGCCACTGTTTAGCAAGATTTTGGAGTGTATCTGTGATAATTTGTGCCTTTTGAGCCAAAAGATCATTAGGTCAGGTACCAATTTTGGATGGCAATGCCAAAACCATGCCAAACCATGTGTATACAGTATGGACCTGGTAATGTGCACTTGGGGACAGTCAGTCCTCCTTAACACCCACTGAGCATGTACATTTTTTCACTTTATTATTGTTTGGAAGGCTCTGCATGGGAATATGCTAAGACCTGCCAACCACTGCAATACTCAGAAACTCCAGCTTACACCCATTTTTATCTATTAGTGTCTTATGTATTTGTTCCTATCCTATTCTACATATTATTAAGAGAGTGTAACTTCATGTTTCACTGCTACAGGATTCTGCCACAAACACTGAATTTCACTGAATAGCGCATGCTTTACCAATAAGATCCTACCAGATACACAACACTTTCCAGTGTCCGTTCTATCAGAAGTAGAAAGTTGCAAAAAAAGAAGTCCAATATTTCTAGCGCACTCCCAGTGAAGGAGGTGTGTAGGGGCTGGTGTGCGGCTCCTAATGATATTAGACCGAGGTGTCTAATATGTGTGATAATGAACAAAAGAGGAGCCACACAGCCTAGTGAAATGGTGTGTGCAGTGGTACAGATGAATTGAAAAATTGAGTGATTAATGGTGTTAGACACTCACATGTGGTGGGATAGGGTGCGCTCAGTGGTGTTGGTCTCCTGGTTTGGTTGTGAGGTCTGGACGTTGCGGTGGAGGGATTCTGAATAGGCAGATGAATTGTGTGAGTCCTCAGAGGAAATGGAGTATGATGACCGACATGGAAAACAAAATTGCGAAAAAATTGTCAGACTTTCTCCAAGCTCCACTTGGCTTGGCAAAGAAGGTTCACCTTTGAAACGCATTGCCATTCCTCAGGCACCGATCCCGTGGGGCCATGCCATATTGTAATCTCCGCCATTAACATGTGCATCTCTCCCTTCCTGCACACACTGCTGATCCACACCATTCAGCTGCCGCTCATCCCCCCCCCCGCATCCACACCACATGCGAGTGTTTACCACCATTAAAAAATCAACTTTTCAATTCATCTGTACCACTGCACACACCATTTCGCTAGGTTTTGGCGCTCCTTCTCTTTTTTGTCCTCTTTTGTTCATTATCCATTCTATCAGAGCATTAGCTATTCCTGTACGCATAGCTCACTGGATAGCTTTCATACCAACAGTAAGTGCATTAATCTCTTAGTGCCCTTTCCCCAGAATATGTGTATTATATGCCTTTAGTGAATACTTTCCAGATTACTGTATATACCTTAAC